CCTTGGAGCTTGTGATCAGAGCCCAGTCGTCTAGATATGCTAACAGACGGACCCCCCTTTCCCTGAGAGGAGTCAACACAGCTTCTACGCAGACCAGATTGGCAGGTGCACAGGTGCTCACAATGAACGGTGATGTGCAGGTGGTGCTCCGTCGACAGCAAAAGCAGGATAAAAACAATGGAAAGACAGGCTACACACCAAGATTTAAGGTAAAAAGTAAAAGGTCCTTTAATAAAAGAATGGACCAGCCATTAAATGAGTTGCCTACCGGCAACTCATTTAATGGCTGGTCCATTCTTTTATTAAAGGACCTTTTACTTTTTACCTTAAATCTTGGTGTGTAGCCTGTCTTTCCATTGTTTTTATCCTGCTTTTGCTGTCGACGGAGCACCACCTGCACATCACCGTTCATTGTGAGCACCTGTGCACCTGCCAATCTGGTCTGTATTTAATTTAAAGACCTCTGCAGGGCCCCTGGTATACTGTCAGTCAGGGGTCTTTGTAGCAGCTCGTTCTTCTATAACTGATTGAGTTTGTCAGCATTTATGGGTTTTTGTTTGTCCACTTGCCTCCTTAAAGTGTCTGTGATATATATATATCCTTTTAAATACAAAGAATCAAAGAAAACATCTTAAAATTTAAGAAACTTGGTGCAAGATTTTATCCATTTTGTCACTTGACTCAGCCAAAGTGAAACAGGAAGTGACATCATAGGGGAACTCTTTAAGAAAATGAACTCTGTGGTCTTTGTTTATTAAAACAAAATTATTTGAACTCTGACTCTTAAGTGATCCAAAATAATCTAAAGAAACATCAGATTCTTCTCTACAGTCTGTTAGTCATTGTAACAAACTGCAGACATTCCCTCTTGACATCACTTCCTGTTATTTCACATGCAAATATCTCAACAACTGTTCATCTCAGCAGCATAAACCTTTTTTCCCCAATATGTTATCAGTGTTATCTTTCCATAAATGAATTCATATTTAATACAAAGATTTGATGTCACAGGCACTTTATGGATTGACCACAAGGTCTTTATAGGATAAATGTACTAATTAACTATAAAATTGTTCTGTTTGAGTTTACTCAGTAGTTTTACAGATATATTAATATGAAATTCTGAAATATGTGTCCTTATTCCATATAAACAATCAACTCTGAAAACACAGAAGCTCCAGTCACAAGATTAACCTAAATTAGGCTGGATAAATGTTGGAATCAGATTAGCATAAAATCTCAGATGTTTAAGTGTAAATATAAAAATCTGCTGCTAAATGTGAAAGGAAAAAAGAAACAACTCAGTTATCAGCAGGGTGATGGAACACCATTAAAACAGAAGGAAGCATAACACATCAAAACTTTTGCACTTCTCCATCTCAAAAGGCTCTTCCATGACTGTTGCTGTTGTTCCTATTTTAATAACTACAGTAACTCTTGTTATGAGTGGAAATGTTCAGGGTAATAAGTTTATGTTCATGACAACACTTCATCTGATCACTCCTCATAACATTCTGGTGTTCATCACTCAAACAGCAACACTCAGTATTTAAATGAGTCCCAGCTGTGGCTGATCACTGGTTCTGGTTCTGCATGTTGCAGGTGGAGGGAAAGCGTGTTCCCAGAGACGCAGGACATCGTTACTACCCCTTTAACGAGCCCTACTGATGACGCCACACTAAAGCCTGACTTTGTGCCTTTATTTTACACTTTTCAACACATCGCTGATCAATGTTCTTATGATTTGTTTATTCCTGCACTTATCGTGTGACTGTAATCATATACGTTCTTTTTAAATAAACATTTTGCTACTTCTGATTAAGGACTGTTATTTTACCACCTGTATGTTGTACTGTACTGCACACCTGTGGGATTAAACTGAGTGATGGTAACAGACTCTGAACTAAACCTGCCCACAGGCAGGTTTTCTTTAAAGGGATCCCTGATTTGTTTTAACATTAGACTTTATATGATAAACATGTACTTTAACTGTAAAATAAAGACTGTAAAAATACTGTAGAATGTTCAGTTTTTTAAAAATTTAAACTAAAAGTTAAAAAATATATTACATGGACGGGGCCATTTTATTTACATGCAAAGCATTCTGGGTAAATGATGACATCAACTAGGTCATCGGTGCGAGGCTGCTTGCGAACTATATCCACCCTGAAGGTTAATCTTGGACAATATCTGACGATCGACTCTTAAATGAAACCAGAGAGGAGAAGGTAGAAATGACTCAGCCTGTAACTGAAAATATAGATGGAGGACAACAGAGCTGCTTCATGGAAGAACCTCAGCTTAGCCTGTTAGCCTTTGGCATTAGCCCAGACGCTATCACCATATATATGTATTAGCTCAGCGCTACACATTCTCCTCTCGTCATTGAGGTCCTCCATCCACAACAGAGAGGGGAACGCAAGAATGACTCAGTCTGCAACTGAAAATAAGGATGGAGGACCTCAGTTTAGCTTGTTTGTCGCACTAGCGCCGAGCTAATACATATAAGGCAATATAGTGTGAGGGCTAGCGCGAAGGCTAACAGGCTAAGCTGAGGTTCTTCCATGAAGCAGCTCTGTTGTCCTCCATCCATATTTTCAGTTACAGGCTGAGTCATTTCTACCTTCTCCTCTCTGTCAACGCTCTCTGGTTTCATTTAAAAGAGYCRATCATCAGATATTGTCCAAGATTAACCTTCAGGGTGGATATAGCTCTCTAGTAGCCTCGCACCAATGACCTAGTTGATGTCATCATTTACCCAGAACAGCCTACAGTACTTTTACAGTCTTTATTTTACAGTTAAAATAAATGTTTATCAAATAAAATTTAATGTTACAACTAATTGTGGATCCCTTTAAGAAACTCGTGAGTTTCTATCAGGTCCCTCCTATTACAAGTACACTGTCCAACCCAAGACCTTTTACTGATATCAGATCCAGATCATTTGGAGAAGGTTGGTATAGGATTTTTAGTTTGATCTGTATTCATCTGATTAATTTGTCTGGGTAACATTCTCCAGTCACATGTATTCAATATAACGCTACAAAACACTGATAATTTATAAAACCTCCAAAATCAACAGAAAAAATAATAAATCACGTGTATTTGGTCCATTTAATTTATTAGAAGCCTAGATTCGCAAAAGTTTGAATTAAAAAAAGTTTTTCTAACAATGAAACATTCACCTGGATTTGCACAGGTGTTCAGCCCGTAGTGAGGATCCAGTTTCCTGTCCAGTAACTATGATCCTGGAGTTTCTTCAGTTTCTCCTAGACGAGGGCCGCTCTCCCTCAACGCTTAAAGTGCTACTGATGGCGGTACAGTGGGGAGCCTTGGTTTCTCTTTTCCTGCGTGGTGCTCGTAGGCTGTGTCCACCATCAAAACCATGGGCCCCAGTCTGGCATTTGCCCTTGGTGCTTGAAGCCCTCTGCCACCCTCCATTTGAGCCTCTATCGCAAGCTGGCCTTAAGTGGCTCTCATGTAAGACTTCTTTCCTGTTGGCAATTGCCTCAGCTAAGAGGGCTGGTGAGCTACACACTCCTTCTGTTAGTCCTTCGTGCCTCAGATGGGAACTGTATGGCTCTGGTGACCACCAGTAGCAGAACCACACTTTCCACAGAACAAGTGTGCCAACTCCTCAAACTGTGCCTGGAATCAACCTACTTCACGTACGGGGGGCAATATTATA